CCTTCCTTCCTTCCTTCCTTCCTTCCTTCCTTCCTTCCTTCCTTCCTGAGAAAGAGAGCATAAGCTGGTGGGGGGAAGGGGCAGAGGGAGAGGGAGAAAGAGAATCGCAAGTAGGCTTCCTGCCCAGTGCATAGCCTGACGCGGGACTCAGTCTCACGACCACTGAGATCATGATCTAAGCCAAATCAAGAGTCGGATGCTCAAGTGACTGAGCCACCCAGGTGCCCTAGGATTGTTTTTTTCTATTTCTGTAAAATATGCCACTGGAATTTTAATAGTTGTTGCATTGAATCTATAGATGGCTTTAAATAGTATGGACATTTTAACAGTATTAATTATTCCAGTCCACGAAGTTGGGATATCTTTCCATTTATTTGTGTTTTCTTTAATTTCTTTCGTTAATGCCTCAGAGTTTTCAGTGTACAGATCTTTCACCTTCTTGGTTAAATTATTCCTATTTATTTTATTGTTTTTGATACTATTATAAATGGGATTTTCTTTATTTTTCTTTTAGATGTTTTGTTGTTAGTGTATCAAAATACACCAGACTTTGTTGAACTCAGAGACCAGCAGAGTACCTGCCCAAAGTACTGCCCCAGGATAGCCTTCACATTTGTAGGATGATTGAATGACCAGGTTATAAACTGCATGGAGCCTAGGAATGGGGCCTTCCCCACCCCTTTGGCACATCTATATTACAGCACTTATAGCACTGAACTGAAACCTTGCTGGCTTATCTGGTTCCCTCAGGAAGCTGTGAATTCTTAGAGCTGGGTCTGGCATAGTGCCTGGCATGCAAACTGAGGCAGTGAAATTTTCTTACCTGCATGGGTGAGCAGGAATTTGACAGTGTTTTCCCTCAAATGAGCACATAGTACCTACTATGTGCCGGGTACTATGCTTGCTCTGTGTTGTCCATGGGAGAAAGTCCCTGACTTTTCCAAGTAGGAGGGAAATAGACTACTGTGGGGCAAGGATTGCCCAGCAAGCTGGCTCACCAAACAGCCCTCTGATTCTTAATTTGGCTCCTAGTACCTTGATATCAGGAAGGCAGACACAAGAATGCCATCTTTGATAAGTTATGTGTTCCACAGGCAATCTAAAAGCTGCATCCTGGGGGCGCCTGGGTGGCTCAGTCTGTTAGGCATCTGCCTTCAGTGCAGGTCATGATCCCAGGGTCCTAGGATCGAGCCCCGCATCTGGCTCCCTGCTCCGCAGGGAGCCTGCTTCTCCCTCTCCCTCTGCCCCTGCCCCCTGCTTGTGCACGTGAGCTCTCTCAAATAAATAAATAAAATCTTAAAAAATAAAAAGCTGCATCCTGTTCAAAGCATCAATTTTTTATGAGTTTGGTAAGCAATAGTCAGTTCCCAACTCTGAACCTTCATAAAATCGGGTGTCTGGTTCTACAGACATTTTAGAGGCCCTAAGGAGCCTGATGGACTTTTCTGTTTTACCTACACAGGCTTCACTCTGTAAATTAAGCAGTGGTCCCAAATTTCATTGAAGGAACTACCATCTTCTTCAGAGTCTTTATGCTGGGGTGAGCAAGACCTGGAGGTCTGATAGCTCTGTGGGCTCTCCTGACAGAGAACACAGAGATGCCCTCAGCCTGTTGATGTGATTAGAAGCTGAGTGAAGTTGGATGAAAGCCAGTGACAGAAAGGGAGGTATGCAAGAGACTCAAGCGTCATTTCTGAGTTAATCCATTCTGTTTCTAAGGATTTGAGATTGAGGTCAGGAATCTTGAATCTACTTCTACATCTTTTAGTATCCAGGGTGTATAAGTTCCCATTCTTTTTGCTCAAGGGAAATTTTGGAGCCATGGGGCAATGCCCCTTGACGTAGTAGTTTCTACAGTTCTGCCATGTCTCATCCCAGCCCCATAGCCTGGACCCCAACCTGGCAGCATCCTGTCCATCTCAGGAAGTGAAACTTATTGTGTCAGGCGAGCATGTTGCACAATGCATGTATCAAGCCCTGTCTCTTCAAGGAGACTACTCAGGCCATAGCACTTCCTTCCAGTCCCTAATCAACAGAAAACTTCTCAGTACAGAAATAGTTGCACTGGGGGAGGGCCTGGAAGAGTGATGATGTAAATGGCAACGCAAACCCAAAAAATGAAACAAGCAGAAGTGGGGAGTTGGCAATGCCAGACTGTAGTGGGAAGCTCCAGTTTTGGGGGGATTCTTCCCTCTTGAGTCACTCAAGCTCTTCTCACCTGCAAGTTGTCCTCTACACTGGCAGGTCATTTTCCAACACAGGAGACTGGCATTATTCAGAGCAGTAAGTGCCTTGGTACTATCTTATGTCTGATCTTAAGCTTCTAGCCTTTCTTAGCAAGATTGGCCTCACCCAAATGGTCTTCAATCATTTTGAGCAAGAAGACAGATAATCATGGGTTAGTTCTTATATTATCATGTGTAGTTGTAGTAATATCTACTCTCTGCCATGGGCCATTTTGTTCTTGTTGACTCTCTTGCACAGAAAAGCCACCATTTTCCAAGTCCCGTCTCATTCCTGGCATTGACTTCCTAATATTCTTCTTAAGAGTCTATCATTCCTTCCTACCATTCCCATGGGTCTTTCTGGTATCTGAAAGTATTTAAAATGTCCTGTGTAGCCATTCCTGTCTCCATGGATACCTCTCTCCTTTTCTTTCTGTTTTAGGGATTATTTCAGATTAGAGAGTCTGATTTTAGTTTTGAGACCTCTGCTCTTCCTCTTATAGCATCATCTCCATTGAGTCTGCCCCCTCCTGGATCCAGGTACTCCGGGCAGATAGGTAGATTCCAGGGTATTCCATTCTCCTCCCTGGTCTAGAACAAGGAGGACTCAAATATATGAGCAAGCTGCTGGGTTTGGTGAGGTATATGGTCTGCAGAGGCTTCTCCTTACTGGCTGAGTTGTTATTTCACCTCTGAGAGGCCAGTGGAAACTTGTCCTTCCTTTGGGTTCAACAGCAAAAGCCCTCTGGCAGGTGAGGTGGATGCCAGGGCATTTCTACTTTATATCTTTTCTTACACGTAATGGATATGAGATAGTCAGCCACAAACACAGGGCTTTGGTGCTGCTTATACTAGGAGTCTGGAAACATTATAAAGGACCAGATAGTAAATATTTTAGGCTTTGTGGGTCATAGGGTCTGTTGCAACTACTCAACCCTGTCATTGTTGTGAGAAAGCAGCCATAGATAATACGTAAATGAATGGGCTTAACCGGATTTGTTCTGCAGGTCATAAGATGTAGGCCCCTGTCTTACACCATTGTATTAAACCATATCTCTTGGATATAAATTTAGAAACAATACTTAAAAAAACCTGTCCTTGGGCGCCTGGGTGGCTCAGTTGGTTAAGCGACTGCCTTCGGCTCAGGTCATGATCCTGGAGTCCCGGGATCGAGTCCCACATCGGACTCCCTGCTCGGCAGGGAGTCTGCTTCTCCCTCTGACCCTCTTCCCTCTCATGCTCTCTATCTCTCATTCTCTCTCTCACTCAAATAAATAAATAAAATCTTTAAAAAATAAATAAATAAATAAAATAAAAAAAAAAAAACCTGTCCTTTATTGAGTACCAGGCACTTTTTTCATTGCCTTATTTAGTCTTTGCAATAAACTTTATAAATAGTATTTACCCATTTCACCTATGGGAAAACTGAGGCTGACATAACTTATTGAAGATCAAACAACTAGTAAATGCTGGAACCATGACTCAAACATGGTTGAGTTGAACCTAAACCAGATCCTTTTTTTAAAAATCACTTTTAATTGTTACATTTTTTGCTCCCATCTTGTGCTGTCCGCAGTGCCCATCTGCAGACCTCTTTCTCAATGATTCAATTATATTCTAAATGACATTAGTATCTCGGCAACTCTGCCCATAAATGTTTCCACACTCTTAGGATTAGAGTAAACTCTGTTCCTTTGTCCTTCCTCCTTTTCCCACCTGGCTGTGACATGTTGTATGAATTCTCTTCTTTCTCCTTCTCTCAGGGTAGCACTGGGACTTTCCAAACTGGGTATTTAGTTCTCTTCCCTTTTCTGAGTTTCTTCCTTATTCCTTTTCATTTTCTCACCTGCTACTGGTAACTCTGTTGTTTGATTTCCTTTGTCCTTTCCTTTTTCTTTAAGACTGTTAGAGCACTGTCCAAAAAACCTCTCTAAGATTACTACCCCTGGAATCATATGCTTTTAAAAAAAGTAATGCTTAAAAATACTTTGCTCCTAAAATCTGTGATGAAATAGTTCTCTCCTAAATTGTCTGTGGTGTATGTATTCTACTTGCTGGTTATTACATAATTGAAGGTGATTTGGCTATTTCCTTCCAGGAGTTAGTTAATTTCACTTCTCTAATTACTTCCTCCTTCTTGGCTGGAACTGAGTTTTCTATCTTCTGGGAATACAAAGTTCTTAGCAAAGCAACTCGGGATTTGTTGGTTGCAATGGTCAAGTCTAGAACCCAGACTCTAGGTGGTTAATCTCCTCTAATGACTGAGCAATGTGAAATGAGGAAGTCTGATTGTGTAAAGTTATTATACAAATTCTGCCCATACTTCAATACAATGGATAGATATTCCAGAATTCAGCAATCTCTGACTTGGGATTCCTTTCTCTCTCTGGCATTAGAGGTTGGAAACTCTTCCAATATGTACTAATGAATCTATGAAGCTGCCAGACATGACCCATTTTTCAAAGTAGGTTTTCACAAGGGAGGATATTTGATATGATAGTTCCAGGAGTGATCTATCAAAGTTAACTGATGACATGTGTAGGCAAAAAGTTACACGTTAGAACTGGTAGTGATTTTAAAAATATCCTTCTTAGCCTTTTTGTTAATATGCATGCTCATTTTGGGGCACCTGGGTGGCTCAGTCGTTAAGCGTCTGCCTTCTGCTCAGGTCATGATCCCAGGGTTCTGGGATCGAGCCCCTGCATTGGGCTCCCTGCTCAGCGGGAAGCCTGCTTTCCCCTCTCCCACTCCCCCTGCTCGTGTTCCTGGTCTCGCTGTCTCTCCCTCTGTCAAATAAATAAACAAAAATATTAAAAAATATATATATACATGCTCATTTTGAGTTTCAAATGATACAAAAATATTTAAAGTAAAAAGGAGAAGCCCTCCCCTCCCCACCCCCACCCCATTGCCTCTCTCACCGGATAAACCATTTCACCAAAAGTATCCCAGTCACTGCCACCCAAGGACTCACCCATCCATTCATTCATTAACCACCATCAGTTCTTTCAATAGGTCTTTTTTTTGAGAACTTCCTGACTGCCTGGGATCTGTAGATTTCTCTCCATCCTCGTACTTCATTGTAATTCAAGCCCTCTCCCTTCTTACCTTGGTCATTTAAATCATTTCCTAATTGGTTTGCTTGCTGACATGGACCCTCCATCCATCCATTCCCAACACATTAGCCACAGGGATGTCTCCACAAAGCAAATCTGGTTATATCAAGCCCTTGCTCACATCTCATCATTGGCTCCCTATCTCCTCCATGGGTGAGTCCAAGCTCCTGAGCATGGCAAGCAAGGTCCACCATGGAATCCTCTGCTCTCCTCTCCTACTACACACTTTAGCCCTCCCAAACTATTTGCAGTCACTTGAATGCAATAATATTTTTTCTAACTTCCATGCTTTTGTACAACCTGTTCTTTTTGCCTGGAACCTCCTTCTCCTCCTCGTAGTTTGTCCATTGCCTAATCCTTTAAGACTCAATTCATACTTCACCTCCTCCATGACATGCTCCTTCCCAAGCTAGATTGGTGGGTGCCTTTCCTCTGTGCCATGTGTCTCTAACATCCTCTGCAAACCTCCCTCACTGTGCTTTATTTGCTCATCTCCCTTACTATTAGCACACCTGTTGCAGGGCTGAGATTATAGCTCTTGTCTCCATGCCTGGCACATGACGGTGGTCCATGAATGTTGGCTGACCAAATGAATGAAAGCCAGGAGTGATCCTGCTGCCACTCTCACGGCTTCCATCTTGAGCAACCTTCCTTTGTTTCCTTAGAAAAGAGTATCTTGGATTTAAAAATAGAGACTCACCAGAAGTGCAATGTCCAGCTCACGATGAACTCCTCAGTAAGCAGCCTGGTTGATAATGGAGGCAGCAGGTAGGCCCCAAAGGCTCTTAGAGACTTCTGGACCTGACTGGGTGTGTTGTCCTCTTGCAGAAGTGTCGTTCCTGCCACAAAGGCACCGTGAACACCTTGCTGTCCTGGCTTGAGTCAGAGTGGTGTCCAGCTGCTCTTCTGGGGAATCCTGAGCTCTTTATGAAGTCTTCTGGGACAGGGAGGTGACAGGAGCTATCACTATTATCAGGAAGTGATAGTGTTCTCCTGTTCCGTGTTTCACCAGATGCCTGGGAGGTAAATTTCTGCAGAGACACTCCCATTTTTCCCCGAAGTGTTTCTCGAGGACTTTTCCAAATTCCTCTGAGAATTTGGGAGTTCCAGAAAGATGAAATCAGAGGTGATGACATGGCAGGGTAAACAGCTCTTAGAATGACTTCCATCATTCCAAAATGTAAGATGTGGTGTGTTTGTGTGTGCATTTGTGCGTGTGTATACAGAGGAAGGAGAATAAAACTATACATCACACCAGGCACCATGTAAGTTGTGTTTATGTGTGCATGTGTGTGTATGTACACAGAGGAAGGAGAACAAAACTATACAAGACATGGTACTTGTCCTCAAGGAATTTTTGCAAATGCCTACAATTTAAGACAGAATATGGGAAGTGTTACGAGGTGTATAAACTGCCACAGAGCGGTCGTCTGCCCTTTCCTCTACATGTGTTCAGGGACATAGCCAGGTGAGAGGAGGGACAGAAACATGATTTGGTGCTCTGTGAGTTGAGAGTGCTCTAGGCTGCCTATTGAGATGCTGTTTGGGAAATTGTGGGTTCATGTTGGAGGGATTGTTTACTGCAGAGAAGACTGAGGACCTGAGAGTCCCAGGAAAGGCATGGGGGAGAGTACCTCCTCACTCTGGACAAGGGACTATAAGAAAGAACTGGGTTGGCCTTGGCAAACCAGGCTGCGGACTAGTATCTCCACGTGATCTTTGTTGCTGTCTGGCTTGGAACCTGAAAGGAATGGGTATCTACTGTCAGACATCCTGTGGAGAGGGCATGCTGGGGCAGGAGGAGGGCCCTGGTGGGTATGGGGTAAATCTTTCTCTATTAGGCCACACGGCAGCTAGGACCAGGACTCTGGGACTTGGACCTGCCTGAAACTCACCCTGAGGGGTAAGAGAGGGGGAAGTGGGATTGAACTGGTTGCTGCCACACTGAGAGACTCCAGGAGTGAGACAGGGAAGGAGGCCTGGGGGTAGCCACACTGCCCGTGGCAGTTTTACTTCCCTTCTTTCAAGCCTCCTGCCTCATTGAAGGCAGGAAGGTGGTCTCAGAGATTTAAGGGAGGGCGACATCCCCTCTCCAGGGCTGATGTGACAGGAGCAGTTAGGAGGCATTGTGTGCCCAACAAAGCAGCCACCTCAAGAATGGTCCCAAGAGCAGGGGCCTGGGTGCCTTTCTCACTGCAGTATCCCCAGACACTAGAGCGGTGGCCAGCCAGTAGCTGGTGCTCAGTGCAGTTTGACATGAATGAATGAATGGAATGAATGAATGAATGAATGAATGTCACCAGCAGCAGTCTGAGTGTGGCAGCCTGAGGTGGAAGTCAGAGGGAGGATTCTGAGACAGTGTCTTAGGGACTCTCAGAAGGTGATCACTGGGGACACATAATTATGTCCTCATAATTAGATTTAAGGCAAATTTGACCCCAAATGAAACCCAGGCATGTTGTGTGTGGTGAATGAATTGAAAGGGAGTAGAAAGTGTCATTCAGAATGTACTAACTTGGCATGTGGGTTATTTTGAGCTGAAGGCAATGAGACTTAAAACTCAGTTTGTTACCTCTCCTGTAACTACCTAAAATAATTTAGATAAGTGGACTATACCAGAGATAGTAGGGCTGTTACCAGAGAGAACTTTTATCTGAAAGAATTTTCTGCATGGTAGGGCAAACATCTGTTTACCAAACACCTGCTCTTCTTATCTGCCTGTGAATTGCCCTCCTTCCCTCTGAAACCCCAGACCCCTACCCCTTTCCCTAGCTCAGAATGGCACACATAAGCCTCCACTGCCTGACTGCTTTGAGTCTCATATTTTTATAGGGCTCCTATACAAATGAAATGAAGTTTGCATTTCTCCTGTTAGTCTTATATAAATTTATTTATTAGACCAGCTAACAAACCTAGAAGAAAAGAAGGGAAATTTTGTCTGTCCATACAGAATCCTCACCACTGGCCTTACCCTATCCAGGAGCCCAACTTCACCTTCCCTCTCCCCGGAAGTCTGCTTCAGCAGGGCATCTGGAAGGTTTGTACTGTGCAAAGGGAGGCATAAAGAAATGGGTGTTTGGGCCCCTGCTTCGAGACATGATATGAAGGGGAGTGACTGTGTGTGCTTCGGGGAATAATGGGAGGGCTCTGAGTGCCTGGGTGGCTCACCCTTGGCTTCTCCAGGTGGCTGACATTGTTTGCCTTCAGCTGGGGCCTGTCCATGTCTGTGATTATAGGATGCTTGTGGACTGGGGAGCACAGGGTTCATAACTGTACTTGTGATCGACTCTAGGTTCCCCTCTTTAGGGCAAAGGCTCCCCCTATGTCCCTGGGTTTGGGGTAGAAGTCCGTGTGACCTCAGCATGCCCCACTGTGATGTTATTGGTTAGTTTAGGCGGGGTCTCCTTTTCTGAGGCCTTTCCAAGGCTCACACAGCCCAGCCCTGGTACTTTCTTCATCTCTCAGCCCTCTTCCTCTGGCTCACCACACCTAGCACACAGGCCTTCTGTCTGATCCTTGACTTGGCAGTCTTGCCCCTATTGGGGGCCGGGGGGGCAAGTTGATTTATCTTTTCTCATCAAGGTCTCCTTTGACCTCCAGCTCTCATTCTCTGTCTCCAATTCCAGCCACTCTCTCTCTCTCTCTTTTAAAATTTATTATTGAAGTATAGGCAGCATACAATGTTATATTAGTTTCAGGTGTACAATGTAGTAATGTAGTGATTTGACAATTCTATACATTATGTAATGCTCACCATGATAAGTGTAGTTACCATCTGTCAACTTATAATGTCTTATAATTTTATTGACTATGTTCCTTATGCTGTACTTTCCATCCTTGTGACTTATTTCTTTTATAACTGGAATTCTGGACCTCTTAATCCCCTTCATCTGTTTCACTCATCCTCATCAACCCCCTCCCTTTCTGGCAACCAGTTAGTTCTCTGTATTTACAAGTCTATTTCTCTTTTGTTTGTCTGTTTGTTTTTTAGATTCTACATATGGACGTATAAGTGACATCATATGGTATTGTCTTTCTCTGTCTGACTTCACTTAGCATAATACCCTCTAGGTTCATCCATGTTGTCGTAAAGGGCAAGATCTCATTCTTTTTTTATGGCTGAGCAATATTCCATCACATATATACATATATAATACACACACACATATATAATATATATATCACATTTTTTATAAAACTGGACAGCTACATGCAAAAGAACAAACCTGGATAATTGTATTACACCATACACAAAAATAAACTCAACATGGATTAAAGGCTTAAATGTGGGACCTGAAACCATAAAACTCCTAAAAGGAAAAGGCAGTAATCTCTTAGATATGGGTTTTTGCAGCATAATTATGGATATGTCTCCTCAGGTAAAGGAGACAAAAACAAAGATAAACAAATGGGACTGCCCCCAAATAAAAGGTTCTAGACACTCATTAGCACATTACTCCTATGTATTTTCTTCTTGCTGTCTGAAATGATCTCTTATCTGTTGTTTGCTGACAGATTGCTCCACTAGCCTGTGGGCACGACTGGAGCATAACTCCTGCTGTCTTATTCCTATTGTGTCCTTAGGCCAGGGTGGGAGATTCTAATTTTTGAGTGAGAGTGAGCAAATGAGCCAGCTGACTCCTGTCTCAGGTTTCACTTCTCGCTTTCCAAAGAATGCAGGCCCGGAAAAATTAGTGTCATTTGGTTCAGTGCCTTTGGATGGGCGGTTTGTGTCCCTGGCTCCTGCCTGGTAGAATGTGCTGCTCTGGCTGGCTGCATAGGTTCCCTTGCCCTCTCTTACTTCTTACTGCCTCTTGGCAGTTCCTTCTGAAATTGCTTATTCAGTCTAGAGAATGACAGTCTTGCCCAACAGGATTCTGCTCCACATAGGCTTAAGGCAACCAAGAACTCTTGCTTGGATCTCTCCTACTGAGTTCCTGAAGTCCGTTTATAGCTGAGGAACTAGACTACCCCTGCAGATCGGGCAGGTTGCAGACTCCTGTACAGGTGCCCAACTTCTGGCTTGAGTTCTCCCCACACTGGGTGGTTAGGTGGAGAGAGGGCAAGGTGTTACTCTGTGCTCCTGAGGAAGCCCAGGACTGAAATCTCAGCCAAGGGCCACATTCTTTAGAGGAACTGGCTCAGCTGGCCCCGACATTGGGGGTTGGCCCCTGCCTGATTGTCTTATTATAAATGGCTTCATGGACAAGGGTACTAGACTAGTATGAGCGGAGATGCGGGGAAAAGGGAGTAAGCCCACAATGTTTTCTCTGAACCTACAGTGGACTTGTTGGCTTTAACACAGATTGTCAGACCATTAGCTCTTAAGTTATCCTGTGGACAACGAGATCTCAGGAGTCAGTCAGACTTTGTGAACTCTGGCAAGATCCTTGACTCCCTCTTTCCTGAGATTGATTCCTTAGGAGACACTATTTTAAAGTATCACGGATACAATAGGATTTACCTCAGTTTCACTTTGTTCACTGGACAGGGAAATTTGCTCTTGCTTCTTTTAAGTGCTAGTCATAAGGAAAGCAATCCTACAAAAAAGTAAACAAACTCATCATTGTCAATACCCAGAACATAACTTTTCAATTTAGTCTCCCCCAAGTAATAAGCCTCCCTTGTTGGTTAGTAGGGAGCTGCTTTGAGTGTGACTGTTTGGGAACACATCTGACCTTCCCCTCCAGTCTTAAAGCTCCTAGAGGGCCATGACAAAATCAGCCACTTCTCCTCCTATGACACCTTGCTTATGATGAGCACTCAACCAAGGGTTGGAATTATCACTGGAATGAAGGATTCCAGGAGGCATTCAGTGGGTGAGTCAAAAAGACCAAAGAGGGAATCAGATGAAGCTCTACCCTCCTAGACTTATCTCTGAAAGTCACTCATCTTTCTGGCCAGATGTCCTTATGTTAAAATGAAGACAACAAGACCTATCTCTCAAGGTTGTTATAAAGATAAACAAGGTCCTGTATGTGAAAGTCTCTAACACAGAGGTGGACCATGCTTGACACACAGGA